TTCCACGTTTCTATCGGTGCTGTATCAAATATTCTTAAACGAAAACATGAATATATCGATGATTATCAATGTAATCGAAATAAAAAGTTAAAGCGAAAGATAAGACTTATCGATATATATCGTGACGCACACGTTTCCAAACAACCAACTATTTATCAGTTTTTTAAACCTGTTTAAAAAAAATCTTTATGTGATGTTTAAACTTAATCTAATGTTAAAATAATAGTAAAGTACTGAATAAAGTAATGAAACGACTGTAGGGCACGTGAAAAGCAATGAAATCAATGTTTAGATGGTTTTTTGCTTACCCCCCTCTAATATGATCACCCCGTTATACTGAACGTTTTCCGTCGGTCCCGATAGTGTTCAGTTTAGAGAGGTTTTACTGTATAGTCTAAGCGTCTACGATATTGTCCACGTGTTTTCTTCATAATGTTAAGAATCTTTCGATCGTCCGGATCAACTAATAGTTTTGAACAATGAATGCAAATACAACGTCGAATTTTGGCAGTTCCTCATAAAAGCAACGTGATAAACCGGTTGAATCAATTATAAATGTCCAAAATATCCCGGACAATCACTGTATGAACCGGCACATGTCTGACATTTCGAACTGCGATCAGCTGGTCCTTGTCGTGGATCTATCAATCCACGTTCTTTTGGTTTTCCACCTACCATCAAATCAGGATGTTCAATCGGTGGCTTTATGACTAATATTCGTCGAATTTCATCCGGAGATAAAATTTCGGATTGAACACGACGAACATTTCGATAGGGTGCAATCGAATCAGCGATTGGTAAGTTGAAGTAAACCATCTTTACTCGACTTCAACCGTGTGCCAATGGCACAATTTCATCAATGCATTCCTTCTTACAGATCAATTTTTTTCATCATTTTCCGAAAGCATCTGTTCAATGATTGAAGATGGCAATGAACAGCCGTTTTACAGGAAATTTCTTTCAAAAAAGAAAAAATATTCGATAAATCAAGTGAACAAACAGCCAATCAACGAAAATCACCAAACAATTTTTCAGGTCGGTTGAAGTAGAATTGATCTTCGACAAAAAATTTTCAAATCATTTGGCCTTTTGGAATACACAATGAAACATTTGATCGAGAGATTTCAACATTTTTGATGACAGAAAAGGAAAAATCTTCTCGTCTTCATCGAAATTTCGATTGAAAACAAAAAAATGAGGATTGTTCGACGAACATCAAGATGAAAAGAATTGATTTCTTTTCTCTGATTGAATGAAATAGTAACAGAGTGTTGATCTTCATCCCTCTCGAACACTTTCACGTCAATGATTTCTCTAGTTGATTCATATTCAACAAAAGAATCTTTCATTGATTGATTTTTCGTTGAAATCAATTAGGATTCTTTAACCCACATCTTCTGATGGATCTTTGTAACAGGAAAATATTTTTCTAAATCTTTTGAATATTCATAGTCACGAGATAAAAATAATTTCTTGATTTTGTGGCTATTCATTTGTGTTTGATCTTTTTTGCAATGATCTGTCACTCGTTTTAACGGTTGATATTTCGAATAAAAGGCTAGTTCTTGAACAAAATTGGTTTTTGTCTTCAGAAGAAACTGCTCAAGATAATCATCATCAACATTAATCATAATCAATGTACTAAGACAGTCATATTGGATTGGAGAAATTCTTGGTTGATCATTGTTCGATTGATCGAACTGTCGACGATTTTGTGCTTGGAAATTGTGAATGGATAAAGATTCCATTTGTGGAAATGATTGAGCAAGACGAAAGAAAAATTCGTGTTCAAATGGTTTTTTCATCAATTAATGAAATTTTACCAACAGGAGGAAATTTTCCGCCTGGAAAACGATTGCTGCTTCCACTAAGATATTTGTATAATAATGGAATGAAGTCAAAATGATATTGAGCACATTGAGCTTCAAGAAAATAATCCGCATAGGCAGTGATTCCAACATCTGGACCAACGTGGAAAACTTATTCGAGTCCTTGCAATATCGATAGATCTACTTCTTTTGGGAAAATTTGATTTGAATTAATGAAGAAATTCAATCGTTTTAATTTTCCAAGTGAAGAAAGAACATTGTTCATCAAATAATTCAAATCGAGAAATCCTCGAGAACGATCAACTTGAAGACACATTTGAAGTTTTTCGAGGTTCGACATTCTCAAAAGAAGTGGAAGGACTTCTTCTGCAAAATAAAATGTCAAACGAGAACAAGAGATGGAGAAATGTGTCACATTCGGCAAATGACCATAGAGAAAATCATTTTCATCATCAGAAGAAATCAATCAAAAGAAAACAAACTTCATTTCGAATCAATTCTGAACGACGAATCGCAGACACATCAACATCAACATTTTCTAGTTGATTGAAATGACCATCGAATAAATAAAGACAATCTTCAAGTAATGCCACACTGATCTTCAGTTTCCGAAGAGTTAAAGATCGAAAATGCTCAAGTGGATCATCATCAAAAGATACTGTTACCACTCTTACACATGACGATGCTGAACAATGATCCAATTCCAGAGTGATCAATGACCGAAACACACGGAAGAGATTCTCACAAACATATGTGATGGAACAAGCCAATTCATCGTCATCTGTTTCGTAGATTTTTATTCGAAGTGTTCGAATTTGATTTCAAAATATTTCACAGGATATGTTCGGATTTAAAGAAAAGAGACCTTGAAGACGATGAAAAGCAGAAGATCCATTGAATGAGTTCTCACTGATCGATGAACTTCAAAGATCTTCCTTCCCTCAATGAAGAATCTTACTTTTAAACAGCCATTCGATTGTGTCTCTTCTCAACTTATAAAGTGAAAGATGCGACAAATTCGAGTAAAGAGCAACATGGAAAATCTTCTCAATGGATGTTGATTCAAGATCTAGTTGATGAATTTGATCACCAATCGAAAGTAAAATATCCGAACACAGCAGATTAAGCATCAGATCCAAAGGAATTCGACTATGAATATGACTAGAACTCTGTTTCACCAAGTTGAAACGCCGTGTAAAAATTGGATCACGAAGAATTCGATTCAATCGTGAATTGATGTGGAAAAAAGAATAATAAACATCAACGCCTTTCAACAATTCAAATATCATTGGAAGAATTTCATCTGGTAAATCATTGAAGGTAACATTGCTTGATCTCGTCGACATTGACATCACGTCTGACACTGCACCGCTGTTCCTTCATGACGAACATTGAATATTTATATAATCATTCTTTCATTTCTTCAATTTGATCTTTCTCGTCGGATGAGATGGATCATCAACGAATGAAGATTGGATTGAAAGATAGATCAATGTAGTTTCCTTTTGGTCAAATTCATGAAGAATTCGATGAAAAGTGATGTTCTAGCTGTTCACAGACGGAATTGTCTCGGTGAACAGATCTATCCATGAATGGACGATCTTGTCCAAGCACCAATCATTAGAAAATAATCTTTTCCCTTCATCCTTCAGATCAAAAATCAATCTGATTTCATTGGAAGGAATTTGAAAGAAGATTTCTTCACCGAGTTCTTCTTCTTTGAACAATACGATCGTTCGAATGAAAATGAGCTCTTTTCTCAACGCTCATGACAAAATGTCGAAATGGAAATCAGTTTGAACTCTTTTCCTTTCCTCTTGAAATCTCTTATCTCAATTGATTTGAGCCGATATTGGAGAGAAATCAATTTTGATCACAAATCGTTGTAGATCGAAATATTCTTTCCTTGATTTTGAATTCTGAACAATGAACTGGAAGTCTCATTTGGATCATTTGACCAACAAACAATTGCGATGCATTAGTAAAGCGACATCTTGATCGCAAGAATATTTCTTGACAAAGGAAAGAATCGATTCAATCCAATCTACAAGAAAGAAACGATCGAATTCCAACTCCAAGCGAAGAACTGTTAGAAGGTAGTGAATCACTGCATCGGTTCGACCGAACCTTTTCTCCTCTTTTCATCCGTTTTGTTGAGAGTAGAGAATTTTCCCTTTTCGTTCTTTCCTGTTTTGTTGCTTTCTCTTGGTTTGGATTGTGAAGACAGGGTAGAGAGAAATAAACTCGGGGATTATCGAAGGATCTAACTCGAACGGTGAAATAATTTTCTTCGAACAAAAATCAAATTTCAGTCCCATTGAAAAGACTTCTTGATCAATCCTTTCCTTGGATAAAATGTTTCTCTCTCCGTTGTTGACCGCTTTATCGGAGTCATTTTTGATTGATCTAGAAGTAATTGATCACTTTTCTTGTTCGTTTCCAATACAGAACAAGAATTGACAAGTGTCTATCATTCGAATCGATTAAATCCTTTCTTCAATGATCGCCTTAGTTTTTTCTTTTCATTATCTGTTTTTCTTCAATCGAATTTCAATTCCAAAAAAGTTTCATTTGAAATTTTCTTCTTTATTTGTAGACGGATGAAATTTCGTCATCCACCGATGACGAAATTTGACGTTCGACTGGTGTTCGATCTGTTGCCGATCATAAGAAAGCTTCTTTTTGCCCTTTGGAAAAAGGAAAAATGATTTTCTACAAGTCAAAGATTCTTGATCGAAATTTTTCAAACGAACTGAAAGAATTGTCCAGATATGGAATGAAAACCAATGATCATTCAATGGTGGCGATCAATCCATCAATGATATAGAAGCAATGAATCGCCGAATCGATTGACGAAGAAGATCTTTCACTGGTTGAAGAAGGAAGGGAAATGATCAAATGAGAAAGAAACAAATATCTTGTTACTTGGCAAATTTCCGCATGGAATTGATTTGGATTCCTTTTTCGTTTTTCATTCATTCAAGAATCAATGAATTCCAGAGGAAAACTATGACTGTGCTCAATAAAAGAAATGAGAGACAATCGATAGAAATTCGAAAAAGGTTTTCTTTATTGACAAAATGACAACCGATATTTAATCGATCTATTGTTAATTTATACCACAAGCATATGTTGATATAAAATACGGCGCACTATTATTTCTTTTGTCGACGTAAATAACACTATGAAATTCACGCCTATTAACAAAATTTTTTGTCTTATTTGACTATGCTTCAATAGTTGTTATATTTGTCACACACCAACATTGTTAGAACAATTTCGAGAAAACAAATAAACTATTTCTTATTTTCTGATCTTTATCAATAACTATGAGAAAAGGGATACATAATGGATAGGAAGCAAGGCGAAAATGTAGATAAAAATGATTTTTCTCTCTGATAAAACTCAATGAGCATCAATAAACTTAACGAGGGTTTCCATAACCACCAGGATATGTGTCGTGTGGACAACCAATGATACCATCATTGTTAAGATCAACATCAGTTGTTCTTTTGATTTTGCTTTGTATACCTAGTCAAGGATAAACAACAATATTCGACATGAAAGCATAGAAATATATCAGCGATATTCACCTTCGCCTCCAATGTAGCCATCACCATTAAAATCAACACCATATTGCTTTTCTACATTTTTCTCACCTCTAACAAATCCATCGTGATTGAGATCAAGTCCAGTCTTTTTTTTCGAGAGTATTGTTAATGAAACCTAAACAAAATTCGAAAACAAAGATTCGGTTAATTTTACTTTTTTGTACAGCGAAGAAAATGTTTACAGGTATAACTTACTCATGATCGTCGTTTGATAAGCGTACTTACGAATAATGAAGAAACTCGACAAAAGTATATACGTATATAAATATGGGATTTGTTTTTCGTTCATTATTTGCAAAGAAATAACGTCATTATTTGGATATAGAGAAAGAAATACGTATTTTTCTCATTGATTATTTGTATGAATGCATGAATC